CTATGTGTCTGATGATGGGTCAGCAATGCTAACATTTGAATCCCTTTCTGAAACTGCGGAGTTTGCTAGGAAGTGGGTGCCTTTTTGCAAGAAACACAACATTGAACCTAGAGCCCCTGAATTCTATTTTGCCCAAAAGATTGATTACTTAAAGGACAAGATACAACCTTCTTTTGTAAAAGAGCGTAGAGCAATGAAGGTGAGTGATACGGAAATATGTTGCATGGGTTTGTCAAAAAAAGTTCTACATGATTATTTCTTAATTGCACATTTCAAGCAAGATGATTATTCTCATTCTTTGCATGTGCTGCCTGATTTAAGTTACATAATTTGCATGTGATGCCTACTTTAAATTAAATAATTCATCCTTCCAATAATGCATTCCTTTTAAAGCAATATAACTACCCATCCGGTTTTCAGCTTAAAAGAATGCTATTGATCCTGCCTGTAGTTTGCATTTTTTAAAATATTTTATAATCTCATTTCAAACAAGATGATTGCTTCAATTTTTGATAGACACTGGATTATCTATTTCATTGTTATTGGAATTGGAGTTTGATGCCAGTATGCAAAAGGACAAAAAGTGTTATACTTCGGTAGATCTGGTTGCTGTAACTTTAAACAAATAGTTTAAAATTTGAAATGTCATGAGAGTTCCATAGGTCATATTATTTGATTATTTCCTGTGAGAGTTAAAGGATGTTTAGAGAGCAGACTGTGGTAAACTTCATATACGTGTTTAGCACTGTGAATGGAGTCTAAATGCATTTGTTTTACCCCACAGAGAGAGTATGAAGAATTCAAGGTACGGATCAATGCCTTAGTTGCCAAGGCACAGAAGATGCCTGAAGAAGGTTGGACAATGCAGGATGGGACTCCATGGCCTGGGAACAATCCTAGGGACCATCCAGGAATGATCCAGGTACTTGCATTTTTATCCAGTGCATTTTGGTTTCTGCCTCCTCTTATTGCTTCTATACTAATTTTAGTCTTCTATCGTGTGGAAGAACAGGTCTTCTTAGGCCACAGTGGGGGCCTTGATACTGATGGAAATGAGCTGCCTCGACTTGTTTATGTTTCTCGTGAGAAGCGACCTGGCTTCCAGCATCACAAGAAAGCTGGAGCAATGAATGCACTGGTTTGTTACCCCCTGAAATTGATTAAGATATAATTTCCTTTTCTGGGTAGTAATGTCAGTGCTTTGACCTATTTGGAACTATATTTTTTATTACTCAATCATGTCTGTTAACTCTGGATAAATGCCAAATCCTCATTTACGGGAAGATATACATTGGTATAAATGCATACACATGGGTATGTGTACACCATTAGCTTTTTTAGAACTCACTAGTAGGATTCTCCTTAATGTTTTCCTGGCCAAGTAGCATCAATATTTTCTTGACCCATTGATCGTCAATATTTCCTTGCCCAATTAGAATCCTCAATATTTCCTTTACCAATCGCATCACGGTACAGTATAAGGTTGGAGGGACACAAACATTTTCTGGTATGGCGGAACAAATTGTCGGGTAAATACCTGTTGGTATAAAATGTCAGCATCTCTTAAACAATTTTTGTAATAAAAGATTGTTCCCTGATGAACTGAAGTATGTACCAAAAACCATTTTGGTTTTCTAACTTGGTTCACTATGGGCCATGCAGATTCGAGTTTCTGCTGTCCTGACAAATGGTGCGTATCTTTTGAATGTCGATTGTGATCACTACTTCAATAACAGTAAAGCTCTTAAGGAAGCCATGTGTTTCATGATGGACCCGGCTTATGGGAAGAAGACGTGTTATGTCCAGTTCCCTCAGCGTTTTGACGGCATTGACATGCACGATCGATATGCCAATCGGAACATTGTCTTCTTCGATGTAGGTGCTACTTGTTTTACAATCACCAATAAGAAATATTACACCATGTGACAGTTATTATGGCTCCATTGGTAAAATTCTTCGTTTTATTTGCAGATCAACTTGAAAGGGCTGGATGGCATCCAGGGTCCAGTCTATGTGGGAACTGGTTGCTGTTTCAACAGACAAGCTCTATATGGGTATGATCCAGTTTTGACTGAGGAAGATTTACAACCAAACATTATCATCAAGAGTTGTTGTGGTTCAAGAAAGAAGGGAAAGACTAGCAATAAGAAGTATATTGACAAGAAGAGGGCAGTTAAAAGGACAGAATCCACTATTCCCATTTTTAATATGGAAGACATTGAGGAGGGTGTCGAAGGTTGCTGTTTATTATTATTATACTTGTTATTATCTGTGTTCATTCATTTGACAAAAATTAATAGAAGTTATATTGATTTGAGGTTTGATATGACCAAAATTTTACAGAAAAATCAAATTTATGTTTTAATGCATCCATGTGATGTAAATTTAACTAAGATCACTTCATATTCTGCAGGTTATGATGATGAGAGGACTCTTCTTATGTCTCAGAAGAGCTTAGAGAAGCGCTTTGGTCAATCACCAGTTTTTATTGCAGCCACCTTCATGGAACAAGGAGGCATTCCGCCTACAACCAATCCTGCGACCCTTTTGAAGGAAGCCATACATGTTATTAGCTGTGGATATGAAGACAAGACTGAATGGGGAAAAGAGGTCAGTCAGTATAGCAATTAGGTCCTAGCAGCCCTCATTCCCAACATAAATAGTAGCATATTTATTGAATGGACTTGTGATTTTAGATTTATAAAAATTTAACATTTTGATTTATCACCAGATTGGATGGATCTATGGTTCTGTGACAGAAGATATTTTAACTGGGTTTAAGATGCATGCCCGTGGTTGGATATCAGTCTATTGCATGCCTCCCCGCCCAGCATTTAAGGGTTCTGCTCCCATCAATCTTTCTGATCGTTTGAACCAGGTGCTTCGATGGGCCTTGGGGTCAATAGAAATTCTGCTAAGCAGGCATTGTCCCATATGGTACGGCTACAATGGGAAATTGAAGCTTTTGGAGAGAATAGCATACATCAATACCATTGTTTACCCCCTCACATCTATACCGCTGATTGCGTACTGTTTGCTCCCTGCCTTTTGCCTTCTCACAGAAAAGTTCATTATTCCTGAGGTTAGTACTAATCCTGCGTCAATCCTACTAAAAAAATAATTAATAGTCCTTAAAGTGCCATAAAATTTCACTGTCGTGGGACCTTTATTCATTCGATTATTTAGTATTTTGACACTCTGGATTTTCATTTTGAGCATCCAATAACTCTGTTCTATGTCTGTGCAGATAAGTAACTTTGCTAGCATGTGGTTCATTCTGCTCTTTGTTTCCATTATTGCAACCGGAATTCTTGAGCTTAGGTGGAGTGGAGTCAGTATTGAAGACTGGTGGAGAAACGAACAGTTCTGGATCATTGGTGGCACATCAGCTCATCTCTTTGCTGTCTTTCAAGGTCTCCTAAAAGTTCTTGCTGGGATTGATACCAACTTCACTGTCACATCAAAGGCATCTGATGAGGATGGAGATTTTGCGGAGCTTTATGTGTTTAAATGGACATCGCTTCTCATCCCTCCAACCACAGTTCTTCTTGTGAACATGGTAGGTATTGTAGCCGGTGTTTCATATGCCATAAATAGTGGGTACCAGTCTTGGGGTCCACTCTTTGGCAAACTGTTTTTTGCCCTATGGGTCGTTGCACATCTGTATCCATTCCTGAAGGGTCTTTTGGGTCGGCAAAATCGTACCCCGACAATTGTCATCGTGTGGTCTATTCTTCTTGCTTCAATCTTCTCCCTGCTGTGGGTGCGCATCGACCCGTTCACTAACGACGCAACAAAAGCTGCATCAAATGGTCAATGTGGCATCAATTGTTAGTTCATTTCAAAGAAAAAATCTTTCTTTTGTGGAAACCGGCATCTCTCTCCACCTTCTGTGTGTATATACAAGAAATCAAGTAAAGTCGTCTACTGAACTTCTATGTACGGTCTCTGCGTCCGAAAAGGGAGTCTGGTGGAAGAAAACTGAGAGAACCCTTGTGTATGTGTTTTGTTGCCCCTTTGACAAAGTGTTTGTTGTTCCCTGCTGAAATATGTTTCTTGAACTTTGATCTTAGTCGTTGTGCAGCATTGTTATGGTTGTTGTCAAGAGGGATATATATAGAAGCTATTTATTGCACTACTTGGCCTGTCTGTTAGGACAAACTATGTTTTGGTCAATGTAAGCGTATTTATTGCCTATCATCATGGAACTACAATTATTGAATACAAATTCTTTCATCAAACAAGCCTATATGAATTGTATTTTTGTTTTTGTTTATTTAACACAATTTCTATGATCTTGCATTTATAGTTCTATAGAGCCAATTTATACTGCAAAATATTGACATGAATGAATTTCGAAATTCATGCCCTCTGGGAAGCATGTGAGCATCAAAACTTAAGCATGGAGTTGAAAAGTACTCAAAACCAACTGTTGTTCAAGGATATATGTAAAAGAATTGTACACAAAATTGCATTTTCTGTGTCACAGGCCTCCTAATCAATCAAGTCGACTGTATTGCATTTTGACGAGACACTTGAGTTTTTCTTCTCATCGACTGGTTATGAAATTTGAACTCACGACTTCCTCCAACAAAATTGAGACCGGAGCCACTAGACTAAATGATCATTTAACAACACTTATTTCAAAGAGCCTAAAACCTAATATATATATAAAAACAAACTCTAAAACTTGCAGTCTACCAATAAAGTCTAGAGCATACAGCATACAAATTGAATGTGGTAATTATGTCATTTCAACAAGATGAGTTGTACTGCAATGCATTGCTTGTCAATGAGGCAAATTTTGAAAACCAATCCCGAAACGACAGCGTATCGACCTGTAGAAGCCACTAGACTGGAGTGTTTGATTAAAACCCTTGGAGGGTTTTTGAGCATTTATAAATTTCAGGTAAATTTCGGAGGGACTGTGAGGAGATTAGGGTTTTTCTTCTCTCTCTGCAGAGCAAAACAAGAAGAAGAAGAAAGAAGCAGAAGCAACAATGGAGGGTGTCACAGAGGGAGTGAATAACTTGCAAATCACGGACTCATCATACAACAACAAGAAGAATCGCATCCAAGTCTCAAATACCAAAAAGCCCCTCTTCTTCTATGTCAATCTTGCCAAGGTAAACCAACCCCATTTTCTCCATCTTCATCTGTTTCGCTATTGTTTTTGGGAATTTCCTTTTGCTCTCTGTTTGATTGTTGAAAACGGTCGAGAAGACCCATTCTTGCCAAATTCCAAAGCTACAGATTGTTGTTGGTTTTCTCTTGAATGCATATGGATCTACTGAGTTTAAGATTGAAGCCAAATAGTTGTGTTATGCTTATTTGCAGATACTGTGTATGTTTTTAGTCACTCAATGGTTTGCAATTTACCTTTGCAGAGGTACATGGAGCAGAACAATGAGGTGGAGCTCTCTGCCCTTGGAATGGGTATTGTTTCGTTTATCTTACCCTCCTTTTGTTTTCGGTTCCATTAGGTGATTATTGGGTTGCAGATGCTTTGTGTCTTCTGTTTGTTTATTGTTTCTCCTGTCACTAGTGCACCCAAAAATTACAATTTCAATGCTGTCTAGGCATTGGCTTATACATAATCCTTACCCAACTATGTCAAACCATTGATGTTTTTCGGTATTATTGAAGTGAAAACTTTTCATCTTTTGTGTACCAAAGATTCACAATTTGTTTTATATCTACAGCTATTGCTACTGTTGTTACCATTGCTGAGATTCTGAAGAACAATGGATTGGCTTTCGAGAAGAGTGGGATTCTTATGCCTTTCAGACAATCTCTCTCTTCTTTTTGGTAAATGTTTCTCATATTAATTTTTAACTTGCTGTTGTATGCAACATATACAGAGATCACGACTTCTACAATTGACATGAGGGAGGATGCAGGGGGGCGGCCAATTCAAAAGGCAAAGGTACCTTTTGAATTTTGTATTAGCCTAGCAGTTTTCTGATATCTACATTGTGGTTTTATTAACCTAATGCAGCAGAATAAGGACTACGTAATATGCAACAAAATTAGGGGTTCTTAAACATTATTTCTTGTTAACAACAAACATTCATTTAGATGTTAGCAAGGAATATAGGCACGTATAGCTAGGGTTATTTAAAAGAGAATGAGGTTCAAAAAACACTCATTACGGAACTGAGGTGCCAAAGTTTGCTTGTTTCTGAATTTATACAATTACCAGCTCTGCATGATGGTCTTCCCACTCTTTCTGCGACATGGTATTTGAGTAAATTGGGTGCTTGTATGTTTGAGGGCTAAGATGTCAGCTCCTTCATTATTGAATTGATAAGCCTTCAAAACAAAGTGTTGGCTTAGTTTTGTCGGACCATAAAGATTTGCTCTGCTTGTCTTTTAACATGTGAAGTGCTTGTTCAATTGTTTTATAGCGTTGTTTGTGGGTTTAGTTTATGAGTTTCAGGGTTGGTTGATCACTCTTCACTTTGATTTTCTCAGAATTCGGATGCTATGATGATCTAATTGACTTTACATTGAATTACATTACTTTCAATATGTTATTTTTATCTGGGAGGTTGATGATGGTATCATGTGATCTTCTTTGTTTAGATTGAAATACTGCTCGGAAAGTCTGAGAAGTTTGACGAGATAATGGCTGCTGATGCTGCTGCTGCTGCTGTTGCTGCAGAGGAAGCCCTTGAGTATGAGCAGAGTTGAAGTTTGTTGTTTCTGATATCTAGCTTGGTGCAAGCACTGTTAGGTATTCAAAAACTGGTGGATGTCTGACTTTTGTTCTTAGGTTTGCCTCTCTAGTGGTGTTTGTTTAGCTGTGATAAAATTTCTTTTTAGGATTTGTTGTAAAATACAGTCATCTCTGCTATCAAAAGATTCAAATTTGTTCCCAGGTTCATTATTTTAGCTTACATGTGTAACATTGTTAAGTTGCTGCAAGATTTTGAGATGCTCTACCCACGACATTCCTTCTGCTTGACCTCTAGAATGCATGTGAATCTGGTGTTTTGCTTGCTCCTTTCTGCTGGAGCATTGAAATTCTCTTAGCTCTCCATTTCTGTGTGCACTATTTACATTCTACTATACTGGTTGTTGGTAAGTGACCCCAAAAGTCAAGTAATTGGTTTTGATTTGTAAGAAAACGAAGAAACCGAAGTTGCACCTCACCCAGCCATAAGAACAGAGAAACTGATCCAAATGGTTCCGACTTCACCATTGTGAGTGATCTTAACTTCTAATGAAACAAGTCTGATACACACAAGCAACACAAAGACCTAGCTACTCTCAAGTCATGAATTCTAAGTACAATTAATTATGGATATTTCTTCTAAACATGGAACTAATAAAAAGAGTAGTCCGTGTTACGATTAATAAACTAAAATTAAGCTAGAAACTAGTAATTAAGTGCCAGCTAGAGAGCTCTTCAAAACAAGGTAGGCAATATTTATTTAGTTGTAATTGTGACTTGAAAGTGAATTCATGTTGCGGTGATCATTGATCATCTGAGATGGCAAAGGCTGAGGCCACAACAATGCCTCATGAAGTGGAGATATCATTGATAAGTTTCTTCCTTGCAGCATGTCCACCCAGCAGCTTGAGCTTGCAGAAGAAATACACTATTAATAACACCGATGTTACTGTTCTCTGGACAACTTTCAAACCCCATCAAATTAGCACCAATGTTGTAATGGAAGCTTTGTGGAAAAAAAACCCCTAATGGAGGGTAAAAATAATAATTATCGACCCCGCCAAAATTCTCCAGCTCTACTGATTCAAAATCTCCATTATAACAAGGCTCCAAATTAACATTACCACAAATACCATTACTGTTGAATCCATAACGAAATTCGATATTATCGAAAATTATAACTATTGGTTGTAACAATTCTGCCATGCTCTCTTCACCATGATCTTCTTTTGCAGTACCGTATGGCTGAATAGTTTTTGCTTTTTGGGTGAAAGAAGAATTAATATTATCCTCCAAAGCCCTTGAAAACTAATCCAACTTAGTCTCTTTCTCCTCAAAACCGTCACACCCCTTCTTTTCTCCTTTACGCTCACCGCGTGATGACGAATTCAGATTCTTACATTTTTTCAAACTCGGTGATGCTTTCTCTGGCCTTGGCCGGGTCCTTTGGCCAGACCAAAAAATTACCCTTTGGATCGTAAGAAACAATGCAAACCTCGCATTGCATAGTTTTTCAAGCTCCTCTGCTTTCCTGTTTGCGTGCCTCTTCGTGCCAGACATTGTTCCGTGATAAGACTCCTCTGCCGAGAAACTGTTTTCGCACTGCCATTTGCATTTGCGGACCTCCCTTTTTCTTGTCATTGAATCTGGCATTCAAAAACCAGAATAAAAAAAAACACAGAGAGGTTGAAAACAAGGCACAATGACTAGTAGGAGGAGAAAGTAATTGAGAAGGAAAAGCTTACAAAAAAGACCATGGAGGGTTCTTGGTGATATATAGGAAGCTAGAGAGCTTGGGTTTCTTTGGTGAATCTTGGAAAAAAAAACAAAACAAAACTGTATGGATTTTTCCAATGGCAGAGGGTAAAATACTAACTTTGGGCAAGTAAGAAAGTACCAGTGTTGCCCCTTCTTGTTGTGGCGTTAATCCTCTCTCCTATTCCAGGTAATTCTTGAAAGAAAGAAAAAAAGATTTGTTATTGCTTCGAACAATCAGTACGTCCACAACCCAATTAATAACCAATTATTTCTTGGAAATGGCTTCACAATCAAGAGCTCAAGACAAGGTCTTGAGGAGTGAACAGAAAACGAAGGGGGTAGAATCTATAAGAAACATTCTAATAAGCAATCAGGAATGAATCTCCAAATCAGTAAACTAAATGGTGACCTACAAGAGATTCTTGTGTACAAAGTGTATACCTTCGGAGCCACATATGACATATCAAGCCACACAATATTGAGATTGATCTCTGCTTATTCCTTCCATGACAAGAAAACTCAATGACATTTAAATTAATCCTCCATAACATAAATTCTAACCTCAAGAAAAACAAGGCTCCCTCAACTGAGTCACAAAATGGAAAGGAACAAAAAAATTATCCAGCAATCAAAAAGCGAAAGGGCAAGTAAACCCATGTCAAAATAAAAGCTATCCCGTTTCTTTCCTCTCTGCTACGACCAAAATGCAGTATAAAACTTAATTTATTTCTCATTCGAGTCTTCTACGCTTCCTCTTTGTCCTCTACCAGTATCCTCTTGCATGCTTCGTAGCACATAAAAGAAATCCCTGCTGCAGGCACCAACTTCATGCAGCTAGGACCTAGCCCTCTGTATAAACCCTGAACCCCTTCGTGTTCAAGTATGCTTGCGAGAGCGTGAAGCACATTCGTATACTGCCTTCCACCCAGGGCTCCCACCTGCATATGTTTGCGTGCCACCTCGAGTGGGAAAGTTGCAGTACTTGAAATAGCACCGGCTGCTGATCCAATTAAAAGGGTTTCAATGTTGCCAATATTCTCCTGCTTGAGAAACTTGCGATACGCTTTCCGCAATGTGTCATAAGCAAAGTAATTGGTGGCAGCATACGGAATTACTCCAATAAGACTAGGGGCAAGACCTCTGTAGAGTTCTGCAGGTCCCTCTTCTCGCACTATTGTTAAGAATGCATCAAGAAGGCCATCATAAACGCCCCTCTGCAGATTTAACAACGCTACTGTGTGATTACTACATACATACTCAAGAAAGGAACACACTACTGCTAATCCTTAAAATACCTGAATGGTTAACCGGGTCTTCAGTAACTCCAGGGGGTATGTGCAAATTGTCGAGCTTACTCCAGCACAGGCACCTGCAATTAATGAGGCAGGAATTGGAAGTTTGGGCTGCTCTCCAGGTTTCGATGACAAGCGCTTATTAACCGTATCATAAGCAAACAGCTGCCAAAAATGTAGCGGAAGTTTAAATACCAAACCAATTAAAAGATCAGAATTGAAATCCTTACAATCTTGTAATGGAAATCATGTATATAAAGTTCCAATTGTTTAGCTTCCCAAATTTGAATATACATAACAAGTACACACCTAATACAACAGCTATAATACACTCAATTCTTTGTTTCTGTATACTGTAGGCAAATTAATTCTTGATCACGCAAAAAACAGACTGGGGGTAATTGAAACATACTTAGGATGGTACATCATAAATAAGTCATTGTACTGCATGAAGCAAGCTTCATTTTTTCTGGAATTTGGACAGAAACTAGAAAGGCTATCTCCTCAAGCATTATATTGTCTCCTCAATGATGACAGATGATATAACTAAAGTCCTTAACAGGAAGAAAAGATTTCACATCATATCAGAAATTTGCAGCACCATTTCCTATGCTATAACTAAGGAAGAGCACCATGAAACCAACTCAATTTCTCCAATCTACTCAAGGTTCATCCTTCATGTTCTGAGTAATGAGTAAACTTCATGAAGTGATGCCACAAACTGTCCAGTTGGGTACTGGGGCGGGGTGTGTCTCAAGAATTTAGAATGATTTCAATGATCAAACAAAGGTGTATGATGACATGATAAAAGTTGATCAGGCATATTTTTCGTTGACTATGACACCTTAAAGTATCTCACTGATCTTTTGACAATCCAACCGCAAGAGTAAATTGTCTAGAATGAAAAGCATCAGCTCACCTTAACTATGTGCAACTAAAAGCCACATCACACCACAGGAAATAATTACATACTATAACCCAATGGGGAAAACAAATTGGATCCAAAGACCATTTATGGGGCCACCTGGTATGAGCAGAGAAACAAAGGGCATGACATCAAGCAAACGTAGTTCATAGTTGCAGATAATAAACAAAAAGGGATTACTACTTTATAAATTATAAGCAATGCTAACAATCAACATAACTGATGTCTAAATCAAATAAGCTTGTCACTAATACATCAATTACGCCAAAAACTAGAACAAGTCTAAGTATTAACCATACTAACATCACCAATTTGACAAACATTGAAAATAAGGATCACCAATTTGACAAAAAGTGAAAATAAGGAAAATGAAACAAGTCGAAAACATGTCTAAATGCAACATAATATTCACCTAAAACAAATTGATACAAAAGAAATATTCCTACCTCTATTGCCTTGCTCGGTGCAACCCGAATAACATTGACAAGATTTCCCCTAAACAGTCCCTTCCACCCATCAGTCTTCATTATATTGTTAAACACCTCAGTAGTAGAATTCCCACTACTCCCAACCATCAAATGCGTCCTTATGGTCTCTAATGGCGCCACAGCTGTCCGTGACACTGCCCCAGCTATTGCACCACTTATCAACCTCCTCAGTGAAGGGTTTGCAATCTTAACTTTCAATTTAAGACCACCTTTCTTCTTCTTCACCTCTCCCTTCTCTTCCTGAACCCCAAAATTCTTAATGCCCTCTACATACTTCATGTACAGGTCGGCATATGGAAGCTTCACGTCGCCATTCCCGCGTGGATTCGGAGGGTCTGCTGAGACACCAAATCCCATTCCCACTTGGCTAACGCTAGCAAATAAGCCACCAGGATGATAAGCCCCCTCTTGGGAGCTCCATTGAAATCCCAAATTGCAAACAGAGAAAAACCCATCACTCTTATCATCGAAAAGTTGAATTTGCTTCCTACCCATTGATCAGAACCTAATGTATACGCTTTCTTCTAGGGTTTAGTGGACAGCCAAGTCCATTTATTTTCACGTTTTCAAGCGGATTCACAGTGCTTGAGAGGCAAAGGTTCGATTGGGCAAATGGGTCTTCAAAGAATCCATTTTTAATAGATGGATATGGGGAAGGAACAAAGAGCGGAGACCATAAAAAATTATTTATTAAGAATCGAAAAAATTGGGTGGCTACCAAATTTGGGTTTTGTTCTGATTAGAAAAGGAGGCGATGAAAACGAAAGAAAAAGGGCTGCGAGAAAGGAAATGAAAATCTGAAAATCCCAAAAGGGAAAACCTAACAAGAGAGAGAGGAGAGGTAGGTGAATCTCTCTCTCTGTTTTCTCGCACACACACTTAGCCGCCCTCCCTCTCTCTCGCTGCGTAAGTTTAAATAGGCATTGCTTAGTTTGGCGTTGGTTTGGTGTCTCTTGAGGTGGGTGAAGGGAAGGGAAGGGAATAGAGTTGGGTTTTGAGTCCAGGTTAGTAACGCAAGTATAAAGCCACTGTTGCCACTGAACCCACCGTTGCCACTGAACCCACCCTGCCTTTCTAAGCAAAGGTCGCGTTTTGGTCGCTCGAGGATTTGACTCTTTATTTTGTTCTTTTTTGCTTCTTTTTCAATAAATGAAATGTAGCCAAACAAAGTATAATACAGAAAATCTTACAAATCTAAACCTAACCTTTTTCTTTTTTTTAATTCTTTAATATCCGCTTTTACTTTTCACTTTACCATGGTCCATTCACACACACACATATATATATATGTTGGAAGATATGATTAAATTGTAAAAAGAAGATAGATTAAAATCTTATCATTATGAAATAGCGAATTTCATTATAAATAATCAACGGAGTAAGCCAAGTGGAATAAAGACTTAAATTTGTAAATTAATGGTCTCAAGTTTGAACCCTCATAGCACTGTAGTAAAGTTTGTGTGACAAACCTTATCCTCATGTAGTTTAGACTATCGCTTATACTAAAAAAAATGTAACTAATGTCGTATAACTCAGTTGGTTGAGTCCTTCCACCTTCAGTGGGTAGAGGTTTTGAAACCCCAGACACCCAATGAATATTTGTGTAAACCTCTCTCCCTCAATCGCTTGGACTAATTTTTTATTTTTTATTTTTTATTTGGGTATAACTAAAGCACACAAAAACTGCATAAAAAACCTGCAAAGCTAAATAATAAAGTTTATTTTAAAAAAAATAGAATTTCATTTGAAATATACTCCTAATTAATATTGTAACGATCTTTAATACCAATATTAAAATAGAATTGCGTGTTAAGTCAGTCAATCCCATTTGAGTTCTAGCAAAGATTCGAAAATATCTCCTATATATTTTGTTTGGCTAAATAGTAAAAAAATAAAATAGAATCTCCTATATTTAGCTTGGCTAAATAATATTTCCTATATTTAGTTTGGGACAGAGAAATCTTCGGCTCAGCATAAGTCGTTTCATGCTTAAAGTTGTGTTTTGGGTCATAAGTTAGCGGTCTCAGAAAACACACACAGCCTATTACTTCTGTTAAAATTGTAAGCGTTTACTTCATGGTTGGAAGCATAGGTTGAATGTTAGGTTTGTGGTACAATGTTTTTTTTTTTTTTTTTTTTTTTTTTTTTTTTTTAATAACTAACTTTTAACTTTTTTTTCTTTTTTCTATTTAGTATATTGAAATTACTGTTGTGAGATTGGGATGCTTCAACCAATCCCTTAAAAGTAGTATTACTATTCTAAAAATTGCTAATTTCTATTTGATGCCAAACAAGCCAAATCTCATGACCATTTTGCTGAAGAATCCGAAGCTAGTGGAAACAAAGAAGGTAGTTGTTTTTTTGTTTTTTTTTCCCCAAAAAGCTAGTGACAATGAAGCTTGGATTATATTTTCATTTGGTGATATTTCCTCTACCGGTTGTCAAGATGATGTTGATGTTGTATTTATGTAACAAAACAAATGTTAGTCACATAATCAATCGCTATACAACGGGTCTCTCACATCTAGCAAAACACGTACTGGTCACATGATCAATTATTGTGAGATTACTATTGTATACAATATTGGAATTTGGAGGGAAGACTTTCTCCTACTTCATTTGTCTTTTGACATTATTGCCTCTTGCATATAGTTTTAGCCGCATTGAGGTTTTAAGCTTGAAATAAATAAATAAAAAACCCTAACTCTCCCTATAAGGATCCATCTAGAGTTCCTTTCCTTTTTGATTGCTGGATACAGTTAGAGATGTGATTGGTTCTGGAAACCTTTTAAAAGTTTGTATCTTGTGCGTACAGATTTGGGTTAGCATATTCTTATAGAATTCATTCTAGTTTTATGTAGCTGGCCTGTCGCAACAACAACTACAACTTGTCAAATGGTAGCAAAAGATTCATACTCCGGATTAATCACAAGGCACCAAATTGTCCACTTTGTTTCACCAATACTCAAAAGTTCAAACATATCGTTTTGTGTTCCCTTGTCTTGTGCACTTGAAATTTCAAATTTATTTTTATGTGAATAAACTATTTGATGAAAATATAGATGGAGGCATGCCAACTGGTCAAAGGGAATGCAAGCAGCAGAAAATTGATCATTTGACCCAAAACTTGACAGGGCTGAGTAGCTCACAGGCTAACTTGACGGGCTTGGTCTTCTCTAAGCCATTCTTACTGGGTTACTCTTTACAATCGGATCATGTTCAGGTCCAGATACAGTGCTTAGGCAACCCAAGGCCCAAACATTTCCTTTGGATTGGACTCTTTTATGTTCAGGTTAAACCCAAAACAATCTCAATTAGACTCGTATGTTACTGCTTCTGTAAGAACTTCTACTCATATACGTATGTTGAATTTTTAAGTTTTTACAAGAATTCATTCTCTAAAAAACACTTTTATGACCCAGAAACGTAGAAACACTTTTGATTGGGCTTGGCCGTGTGTAAATTCCAACTCAATGCAACAAAGCACCATTTTAAAATTAAACCACGCACCTTTGTTTCTTTGGGACATCCAATAAAATTAGAACAATATAGAGAGAGTGGAAAAGTAAGACCCCATTATTGATCGATAACAAGCCAAAGCCACATCACGTTTAGGAATCTAATAAGAACCACCCCAACTTCTAGCCTTTGCAGATATAGCAAGACTTTCAAGTTTCATGGCTCATTCCACTGGAACTAGTTGAAGTTGGCTACAATTTTTTAAGATTAACCAAAACCAAACCTCTTGTTTTCAAAAGATTTAAACTTATCTCTCCAATTTGCGTTTACACACAGGACTAATTATACTGAGTGGTACATTTCAGATTAACACATTCCACCAATTAAGCAAAGCCTCATGGCATAATTGATTGGTTAATTACATACTACCAGCTTTGCTTTATCCAGCTCTAGCCTTTTTGCTTCCCCTCATCCTTTTTCGTTTTGTCAACTTTTTTTTATAGGTAGCACATGATAAAATCCAGCTTAAAACCCCACAGTTCATGTGAACAACTGACCCTCAATAATACTTGGTAGCAGATCATCTGGAGGCAAACTTTAACACAATTGGTTGGCAATTTGATACAATACAAGAACATTTAAATTTCTAAAGTGCTTCTTACACGTTTGTTCGAAAAGTTGCATTCTCATTACTTTATGTGTATAAATAAATAAAAACTTTGAGTGATGAGACTTCCACTTCTTATAATTCCTAAGATATCCCCCTTATCTTGCAAGAACCCCATGACAATTTTAAAGGCTCGTCTAGAAGGTACTCGACTGTTTGACTTGAATTTCCAATCAGCACCACATGAATCTTATTCTTTGTGAACATAATTCAAAAAGTAGTAATGGAGGCCAAAAAAGAATCTTGAGAGAGAGAGAGAGAGAGAGAGAGAGAGAGAGAGGGGAGCCTCAGTGCTACTATATATATAGCCATGCCCCATTGCTCCAAAACAAATGCGTACACATATATAGAGCTTCTTACAAACTTAGATTGTGCTTTCACTTGCTGTGATCATGAGGCTCCTAGTCTTGTCCGTAGTGTTAAGCTTATTGTGCAGAGAAGCAAAGCTAGTTTTGGGTGATATCGGCACGGCAACTTCTTATCGTCCTCCTTATATACGTGAGTACATAAAATAAGTTCCATAACTTGAGAAACATAAGTTTTTTTTTCCTTCCAGTACGTATGTAAACAGACTACAATCTCTTACCAAATATCTGAAATGTTATGCTGACCGTCTGTGATACATTTAAATAACATTTTGATTCCCTAAGATTCACAGTTTGACAACATATACTAACGTGTCAGCCTTTTGTGTTCTCTTCTTTGTGCCATATACATGATGAAGTGTAATTTTTGTGCAGCTACAGGGTGCTTCGGAAACCAGCAAGACCAGTTCCCTCCAGGGAACCTGTTTGTGGCGGTGAGTGAAGGGTTATGGGACAATGGTGCTGCCTGTGGAAGGCGGTATAGACTGAGGTGCCTGAGTGGCCATAAAAAGCCTTGCAAAGGTGGTGCTACTGTGGACGTGAAGGTGGTGGATCTTTGCCGAAGATCACCTTGCCCTTCTACCATAGCCATGTCAACTGATGCTTTCGCAGCCATCTCACGTTCTCCTTCAACAAAAATCAATGTTGAATATATCCAGTACTTATCTATATCTCTCTCTTACTCTCTCATAAGTCTTCTATAAATAATCTGTTTTATGTCTATATAATAATAATAATAATAATAATAATAATAATAATAATAATAATAATAATAATTTGTTGATGTTTCCTGCAGGATATGACATTAGGCATTAGCTGAACCAAATATGATGATGTACTGCTAGATGAAGAGTATTAATTATCAAGGGGTCTATGGTTGTTTGTTTTTGATGTTCAGATTGAACTGAGCTAAACTGAAGTTTAGAAGGACATATAGAAATTAATATTGTAACCTTCGAAGTTAATTGATGCTATCTTCCTCTGTACGTTAATTTTCAACGATTAAGTTATGTTTGTAATAATAAGCAGTCTTCAATAAAATGATAAAGCAGAGTTTTTGATGAAGGATACATCCCACATGCTTGCCCTCATTCTTCATGGAATCCAGAGTTTTCGATCACGTCTACGAATTATATTGTTGATTGCATCTCTAGTAAACAAAACATAACACGCTTTTGTATTACATTTGTCAGAAAATGTAGTATATATAGCATTGATCCCTTGGACCAGGATTTTGGTTGAGTAATGAGTTTTTCTATTTAAACACGTACTTTTATTTGTTCACCCCAATACTTAAATCATTAAGCTCTTAAGTTTTATTATTGTATAAAATGACAAAAAAAAGTCATCCAACTTAATATTTAACCCTATTATGTTTTAGAAAAACACAAATCTCTCTTCACCCTATTGCTAGATTACTCATCTTTCAATCCAAAAAACTTACTACACTCTCATCTTCTCTTCACAAACCCTAAATTGAGATTGTGAAAGTAATATAAGTAGATAGGGAGAGAGTGGATATTACGAATTCCCCTGGCTTTGAGTTCCTTCCTCACCTCTCTCTCCCTCTCTTTCTTTTATTAACAGATTTCTTCCACGCCCATGGCCCAACACTTCTGCTTGTTGTTTTTATTTATCTCCTAAATTGACATAATGCCCTCGATAATATAAACGTAGTGTTTACTGCATCCATGTACAACATATATATAATAAGAAAATATACATCAAAATACCATGTGCCAGATTCGTTTTCCAGAGCAGAACAAAATTCTTGATGAAGAACAACTACACTTGTAAAATATTTATCACACTATGTTACATCGAAAAATTATAGAACCTGTTCTACAAAAAATATATATATTCGGGTGCAAAAGAATAATGATGCAGTAATGCCTGCAAAATGCTGGTATGAAATTGCAAGATGGACTTGAAGATATTAGAATTCAGGTGTGGGTTGTGGGTAGTGAGGTTGATGAGTTTTTTTTTTTTCCTTTTTTATTTAGGGGTAGTTTGGGAAGATAGCAGAGTTTTCTTAAAAATTGTGAAAATTTGAATTAGAAGTTGAGATGAACCTAGAATATAGAGTGAACAAAGAGAAGTACGGGGTTTAAATAGAAAAACTCTTAGTAATTTGGGACATTCTTATGTTAGGAGTTCAAGAAATTATTTTCGAAGTAAAGATTCCTATCTCTGTTTTGTTAGGATTAATTTCTGGTCAGACTACTTTTTGGTCTGTTCAAATCAGTAGTTTGTGATTGTAACCTATAAAATATCTCAATAAGTACCTACACAACCCATACAAAAATGCAATTGAAATTCCCAATCTGACTTGCCCATACTTGGCATGCAGTTCCCACTTTGACCTATGAGTGGGATGTATCCCTTTTAGCCACATGACCTTCTCCAAAATGGATCCTCCACTGAGTCAAAGTCTGAATGACAAAACAAGGGTCGTGAAAAAAAACAGTATGTGCTTTGTTATATCCATTGTCAACTAACATTTTTTCAATCATATTCAATATAGAGTACATGAAAATACTAGATTTTATTCTGTGATCATAACTTATCAAGTGGTATATTCAGAGATCATAACTCATCGAGTGATACATTCAGTGATCATAACTCATCAAGTGGTACATTTAATTCACTGCATGGTGTTACATTTGATGATATTTCTATGTGTTCGTACCAAATAAGACTTCAACAACTGTATCATAAGTGATGAGTGGGATGATGTGGATCTACATGTCCACTATAGCAACTCTGAAATGATCTGAATGCTTAAATCAACTTCTGGTATATACCCACTAATCAACTTTCTGATGGATGACCTTTTTTTGTCATGCTTGAGCTACTGCATAATAATAGGTAACCCCACAAGCTCCCAAGCATGCCTAGCTAGCCGAAGTGATTAAGGGCTTAAATTAATCAGTTCATCACAGAATATCACCAAATAAAAGTTAGTGGCATAGTTGTTATCGCTCATAAGAATCATGTATAAGCCCTAGTCATTTACTTTGATATTTTAATTTTTGTATACAGAAGGTCAAAGATGATATCGGTTATCAATCTGCATCAATGATTTCCACGTGCGAATTTGGAAGGGCCATTTAGAAACTCATCTCTTTTAGCAGTCAGCAGCCTTAAGACTTCAAGCTCCATTTTGCCTATCACACCACCAACCAACTGAACTCAAGAGGATCAAGCCAAAAAAAATTATTTATTTATTAATCAATTTTATGTAGAGTCAGTGTAAATAATGTACAGTTGAGAATGACCTTGACTTGCATATCAATGGTCTCAAATTTGAATCTCCATGGCACATTGATAGTCTGTGTGGTGGAAACTCCCATCCCCTTGTAGTTTAAACTATCGCTTGTATTCAAAAAATGTGCAGTTGAGAAGTGTCCAAGAACCCAAAAAGCAACTAAGTTCCTCAGGTGGAATTATACCTCATTCCTTATGCAAGCAAAATCAGGTCACTTTTATCAAATTTGACACCCCCCAAAAAAGGACAACATTCAGAAGGGTCAACTATAGAGTTTAGGCTTTGAGCAAGTCAAACAACTACAAATATGTCATCGTGCTAGAAATTGCAGATAAGAAATAAAGAATAACAACCAATTTTTTATTGAAATAATCTTACAACAGTTGTATTCAATGTCATGTAATGGAAAATTCAGGCTTGTTATAATTTTCTTTTATGGAGGCTTGGCTTCTTATAGCCACAAGGAGATACAAAAGAATGAAAAATCATAAATGTATAGGAAGGAGTAATGTTGTTACAATAATTCTGCTGCTTAGAATAATAACTGAGGCTCTATGTTTCCTGCAGAAATATTTTCGAATTCTAGGCGTTGTCTCTGGAAATAAGGATGAAGGCTATGGACCCCCTCCAAATATACAGGTGTCTGCATTTCAATCAAGCGTGATACCTACACAGAAAGCTCATCCATTCAACATACAGGAAAAGAATATCATTCATCATTAATATGTTTGACCAAACTATCTGGTTAGAAATCACTAGGGAAGAGAGTTTATGCATTTGAAGTCTTCAGTAACCACAAGAAAACAGATAAAAAGAAAGATCCGAAGTCTCTTTTCTGAAATCATATAGCTATTGCACCACCTTAACTGAAACTTTTTATACAGAGTGCCAAATGAGAGAGCAATCAGAAACAAATGTCCTAAAGAAACAGAGCACCACTTACTGCTCGGCGGAAAGCAAACATCTCTTCTTGACCAGATAACATGGATACTATGCCGGTTGGGGCACCTCCTGAGCTCACACTCCCTTCTGCTAAAACATCGCGTCGAAGCTTTGAACCCTCTGTCTCTGTTTCAAACTGGAAACTGAAAGCAAACAAGACACATGCTCTTAATGTCGCATCTTTAGACCATGACAATACTAGGAGAATCCTATAGTCAGCCATTGCTAGCTCTGCTCAGCAAATACATCTCCTTAAGCCCTTGGCTGTACAATTGTTACGAGACTATCTGAGGCAATTATATTTCCTACATGTTGTGCTCTAAACACTGAGCTAATAGTTTGATGACTGTCTCCCCAACCACTGCTAAATTTGCACAAATGCAATAAAAAATTATTGTGGAAGCAACACAAAGTAAATTATGCATGCATCTATCTGAGGGTATGCAATATATGGAAGGAATGCAAGTCAGAAACAAAGCAATCAGCTGCATGTCCTGACCTAGAATGATGAATCTCAAAGCATCGAGATCATGGCTGACTAAAGGCCTTTTCTTAATAATAGTAGTTATTTTGAAAATAAATCAACACTCACCTCTCCAAATCAAAAAGTGCACCCTCTTCAGTTCCTTGAAATAATTCATCAATAGCAGAAGCAGCAGAACAAAATAGACGGCAATGATGATTGTATAATTCATCAACGAGGGTAATAAATCGGCGTGCCTGAAAAGTTGGAAAAAAAACTTCGTTTAAATGAGCATATAAGGGATACAATAGATACATAATTTACCGTGACATATAGTTTTCATACATGCATATATTAGCACGTATGTATGTGCATGTCAATCCAGTTATCTTTCATCGGCTTGGGACATGATGACTACTTAACTGTGGCATCGGTGATTATTATCTCTCTCTCTCTCTCCCACCCGCCCCTCCCCTTCTCTCTCTTCTTTTTTTCCCGCTTAACGTGTCTTTAGCTTATTCTTTTGAAAATGGAAGTATCAAATTTGCAATAACCTGGGCAAAGGGGAGCAAATGTTTAAAGTGGTGAAAAATTGCAGTAGTACCTTATCACGGATACGCATACTCATCATTGGAATGCCAGATATAAAGACAGTGTGATAGTTCTCTGCTACTGCAATGTAATCGGCCGCGCCTACCTAAAGTCAATGAACAAAAGCAGAAAGAAAAATTGAAGCAATCATCAGACATAAGAATGGATGAAAAAATATAACACAAAAAATCACAAACACAGAAAAAGGCGAGTGTAATACCGGCCGACCACATAGATACTCAAATGTGAACCGTGCCACTCCATTAGAGCTTTCTGGAACCTCCAGTGTTCTGATTTAAGAACCAACTATCTTTTAAACTATTTAATGGAATATGATCCAAAGGTAATATTCAAATTTTAAAAGTACCTTCCGAACATCACTCGAATAGTACTCGAGGTGATTTGCCCTCCTACTTGGTTTGTGACTTCATGCCACTTCTTCTCAAATTTCTCCAGAGCAATGCTGTCTGAAGGCCAGAAGTAGTGAACCTGTATATTTAAGATGGTAAAGTTTAAACCGCCAGAGTTTTTTACAAAGAAACTTGTAACTACCAGATAGAAACAAATACTCCAAATCGCAATTTTTTTAAAACTAACTTCTTAAATATAAAGTAAAATACAGCATTGTGAATATAGTGATGGACCACTATAGCATATCCATCAAAGATATGAAGAACCAGTAAAGAATGACTGAAAAACAGCCACGACATACTGCATTCATATATGAAGCTGTTGTCGAGGCACTCGTGCAAGGAATTAGAAGTAATACTTCGCATGTATTTGCAAATGGAGGAAAGAAGTAAGTGAAAATGCTTCATACTTACCTGGCCCATAGATCTTTGACTTTGAGCTATAACACGACGATAATCAATCTCACTTCCAATCAGAACATTCTCGCAGTGCTCACCCATTTTGTTAACAAACTTTTGGAAGATCTCCCGTTGCATACCATCCTGCATGAGGTATTTTGTTTCGAAAAAGAAAAAGTAAAGTTAGGTTTGCATAAAATACAATTTGCTAAAACTCCAGAAAAAAAAAAAAAAAAAAAAAAAAAAAAAAAAAAAAAAAAAAAAAAAAGAAATGAAATGTCTTATCAGCATAACAATCAATCAAGTCACCAAATAAAGCGTTAACAAGGTATTGAGCTTAGGTCAGCTTCATCAAGAAGTTACATAAATAGCCGAAACTGATGAACTAGATATGTTGCAAAATGCCAATATGTGTTTGGGAAATAAGGTGGCAGGGAATATTGAGGGTTTTTCTCAGATTTGAAACACACATGTATACCTGATTTAGGTCCTTGGGTGCTCGATTACTCGTGGCTACAAGAACAGTTCCATTGCTTAACAATCTGCTAACAATTCCAGATAAGGCCACAATAGCAAATACATCAACAGTCTGTAACAGAAGGAAAGAAATTCCAAGTCACAAAATGAGCATCAAAGTATCTGAGCTGGTCCTCCCTTCCCTAAGTGTACTGTAGGGAAAAAAAAGAAGGTGCAATTCTGAATAAATTATTACTCCCAGTAACAAATTATGGTCTCTCCCCTTTACCATTTATAAGTTATGGAATAGGAGCTTATTGTCATGCTGGATGTCAGACACCAAATACTAGGTCTGTTTAATTGCTAATAGGTGACTAAGTTACAAGGAAGATTATACATGTGTCCTTGATAAAGTGACAGTATTTTCACGTTATACTCGTGATGATGCTAGACTCATAGTATCAAAAGAAAACTCTTTTAGCACGCATTAACCTGACCTGTATCTCGTCAAAACAAAGAATGCTACCACCCTTTTGATCCGCCTGCCAGTCTATGATGAACTTGTCTGCTACAGCTGGAAGGATGTTTTTCATCTGAACCTCTTGTTTATATCTCTCTTCTGCGGCCACCCACTCCTTTACCCTTGAATCAAAGGGAAGATTCATTACCCAATTTGAAAGGCTTGAATGCAAAGACTTTTCCTCCACTTGATTTTTCCAAATCTGATGCATTTGTTCATTAATCTTTAACATAGCCTGAAAATAAATATATTTCAGTATAACTTACATTATCAATGGTCAACTTGGAGAGAAGTCAATCCATGTCTTTCAAGGATCAACAAAAACTTGTCTATATGAGAATGAGCAGTAACTGTTATCCAAAACTTGTCAAATCACAATCAAAAGCTCACCTCATGGAAGTGATATCTTTTTCGATGCTTAACAATTCCTTCGGTGGCACTATAAAACATGTCCATAAGCATTGTCTTTCCTGAATAGAAGTACCAAATTTCGATTCAGGATGGCACACATTTGCTTTGCTTACAGATAAAACACATACACGAATGCAGCAACATACCGCTTCCAACATTGCCATAAATATACAATCCCTTAGGAGCTGGAGGAGCAGTTGGACGGCGACCAACTACTGAATCTAACTTCCTCTCTCGATTAAGATACGAAACCCATTTCCCAACTCCAGGTTCTACATTCTCTGGTTTTTTCCTGAACCAAACAGAATCTTAACATTGATACACAGGGAGAAAAAAAAAGGAACAGGAAATCTTTAAGCTTTTTCTATAAGCTGCAGTGTGCCTTACCGGGAAAGCCATCTTTGAACAAACTTATTGCGTTGGTTGGTGACTGATTTCCATACATCATCTTTCTGCTGACTCTCAGCTTCCTCCATTAAAAGCTTGCGTCGCTCGTTTTCTCTCTCCTTCGACCATTTCGCAAGTCTTTCCTGCAAAATGGGAAGAAAAAACTCCAGATTTTCAGACAAATTCTCAAAGTTCCAACTTTGAATGCGGTGTAGGAGCTGAAAATCAAGGAAATATTCACATGATATTCCGCCATTTCTTTCTCATACTGCTCTAATCTCCCAAGCAACTTCTCCAATTGAAAAGCAACCGCTTCTTGGTTTGGATCATGCTGTAGCTTCCCTTGCTCGACGAGGCTCTTGTACTGCGTTAGTGGCCCTGAAGCACAAATCTTGTATCATAAATTCATAATCCAAATCTAATTTCTAGAGAGAGAGAGAGAGAGAGAGAGAGAGAGATAGAGGACCTGGAATTTTAATCGAGGAAGGCGAGGATCGATCACAGTAAGAACGAAGCGCATTGAAGCAGAGCTTGGAGCTTGGGCTTCGAACAAACCCTAGAAACAAAAGCGCTGAGATTGACGACGCTTTTCTCATTCTTCTACAAAGCAAATCAAATTCTGAAGTGACGTTAATTTTTTTTATTTTTTTTTGGGTTACAATTCTGAAGTGACGTTATTGATTTCTCTGTCAACTGTAAAACGTACCAGAAAGTTGGGAGGTAGACGAAGAGGTGACGTGGCCAGAAATTCGACCAGCCACGTGGAAAAGCGGAAAGTGCTTGACGTGGGCGAACGGCGACGATTTCATTGTCGTTTTTCTTCAACAACCTTTCTGTTATATGCGTTTGATTTGCCGTTAACCGTTGGCGCTTTGAAATGCAATACCACGCCATCAAAAGAAGCAAGCGCATCGTCCCTGCACTCAAAACCACCGCCATCGCCGCCAACAAAAGAGAAGCAGAGCAGAGCTGCTTAGCTCTCCTGCAAGCCTGTGACGCCGTTCCAAAGCTTGCCCAACTCCACGGCCACGTTTTGAAATTGGGTCTTCGAAACAACCCACTGGTCCTCACCAAGTTCACCTCCACGGCCTCCGACCTCAAGGCCATTGACTATGCCTCTTCCTTTTTATTTGCACCAGACGCCGATACCCGTCTCTACGATTCGTTTCTTTTCAATACCATCATCAGAGCTTATGCACAAACTAGTCATGGAAAGCATAAAGCTTTGTGCTTTTACAATGTTATGCTTGAAGGTGCTGTTTTGCCTAATAAATTCACGTACCCTTTTGTCCTCAAGGCCTGTGCCGGCCTTGGGGACTTGAATTTGGGCACGTCGGTTCATGGGTCGGTGGTGAAATTCGGGTTTGACGATGATGTTCATGTCTGTAACACTATGGTTCATATGTATTGTTGTTGTAATGGAGGGATTGAAAGTGCTCGGAAGGTGTTTGATGAAATGCCCAAGCTGGACTCTGTTTCGTGGAGCGCAATGATTGGAGGGTATGTGCGTGTGGGGTGGTCCACAGATGCGGTTGACTTGTTTAGGGAAATGCAGATGGTGGGAGTTAGGCCGGATGAGATTACTATGGTCTCGGTTCTGTCTGCATGTACGGATTTAGGTGCACTTGAGCTTGGGAAGTGGGTTGAGTCTTACATTGACAAAGAAGGGATTCAGAAAACTGTGGAGCTTTCTAATGCACTCATTGACATGTTTTCCAAATGCGGGGATGTGGAGAAAGCTTTGAAATTGTTCAGAAACATGAGTGGCAGAACAATTGTTTCATGGACTTCTGTGATTGATGGTCTGGCAATGCATGGCCGGGGAATGGAGGCCATGTCTTTGTTTGAGGAAATGATTGGAACCGGAGTAGCACCTGATGATGTTGCTTTCATAGGATTGTTTTCTGCGTGCAGTCATTCCGGGTTGGTTGAAAAGGGTAAGAGCTACTTCAGTTCAATGGTAGAAAAATTTCACATTGTACCTAAGATAGAACACTATGGATGCATGGTGGATATGTTATGCAGGGCCGGGCTTGTCAAGGAGGCATTGGAGTTCATTCAAAAAATGCCGATTGAGCCAAACCCGATAGTTTTGCGAACCCTAATCAGCGCTTGCCGTGCCCATGGCGAACTCAAGCTTGGAGAGAGCATCACCAAAGAGTTAATCAGGAATGAACCTATGCAAGAGTCAAACTATGTTCTACTTTCCAACATATATGCAAAAATGACACATTGGGAGAAGAAAGCCAAGATTAGAGAGGTGATGGACAAGAGAGGGATGAAGAAGATCCCCGGGAGCACTATGATCGAGCTAGATCACGAAATTTACGAATTCGTGGCTGGAGATAAATCTCATAAGCAGTACAAACAGATTTACGAGATGGTAGATAAGATGGGGAGGGAGATGAAGAGAGCTGGATATGTTCCCACTACATCAGAGGTTTTGCTAGATATTGATGAAGAAGATAAAGAAGATGCTTTGAATAGGCACAGTGAAAAGTTGGCCATTGCATTTGCCCTCCTTAATACGCCGCCGGGAACTCCTATTCGGATAGTGAAGAATTTGCGAGTTTGCAATGATTGCCACTCTGCTACAAAGTTCATCTCTAAGATTTATAATCGAGAAATAGTTGTGAGGGATCGAAACAGGTTTCACCATTTCAAAGACGGTATGTGTTCATGTAGAGATTTCTGGTGACGAACCAAATAAAATTCGATGAGTACCAATTCATTTGATTGGACCACAATTTTCTGGACACTACAATTTTTTACCATGACCAATTCAGCTTCGTGAAAAGAAGGTAGCAATTTGGGACATTTTTTGTGACGAATCGGCCTGACGCTCGTGCAGTGCAACGGTTAAATCAAGATTCGCAAGTGTTGTCTGTACAAAGGTTATGATAATGGGCTTATGGCCAAGGTGGGCCCTTTGGACTACAAAAGGCACAGACGACAAACTATAGAAAGGCTGGGATCCACAAGGCCCAATTATTACTTTGTACCAAAATAGTGTTCAATATGCCACCAAACCGAGTTGAATGTAGGGTTCTTTTTGGTTTTTTACTTTTGTCAATGTTTGGAGGAAAACGCGGAGGTGTCATTGGGATTCAACTTTGAGACCACTGATTTATAGACAAATGCTCTTACTACTGAACTACGAACGGTTGGGATAGAGGGTTTTATTTTTAACTTACAACAAATTTGTAATAATTGGTGGATGATCCCTTATTTGATGCCAAGTGAGAATAACCATCTGATCCTACAATTCCTAACCAGAAATTCTTGTTGTATATAGTTCAAATTACAAGCCAAATTAAGCCGGCATTCAAAATTTAAATATTGCCCAAGATGGGACACCTTATCCCAATTGCATTGTTTTTGTGGTATCAAGTCAATTTGTCAACAAATAACGCACTTCTGGAGTCTCTCTCATCATCCTAAAAATCCCATCCAATGTTAATTTTTTGTTTTAAAGAAAGAACAATTAACATTGAGCTCTCCACTAAATCTACTCTAGTGCAGAAAATCCTTTTCAACCTGAAACAACCAATCTTCACTCACATTAGAATTTTAAGATGGAAGAAAAAAAATTACACCAATCCAATTAGAGCCAATGAAAAGAAGGGAAAATGAGCCTGCTCTCTATGCCACTACAACTAAATTTTTTATATTTTTTATCAATGGTGTGTTAGTTGGATTGGCTTAGGTCTTTGATGTGCTCTCAAGTGGTCATGAATTCAAACCCCTTAGGCCCCGTTTGGTTCATGGGAAAGAAGACTTGGAAATGAGAAATTAATTGTTTTCCTATGTTTGGTAAGTCTAGGTATGAGAAATTGTTGTCTGGCTCATGAGAAAGTAAGGGGGAAAGTGAAGTCATCATCCCAACTTAGATTTTGTTTTCCCTCTTCATGGGAAAGTTTGGAAAAATGAACTAACATTAAATACATATTTTTTATGATCATTTTATCCCCATTAACAATTTAGAATTACAATATATCATTAAATTCTTTTTTTATTTGATTTAATATAGGTATAATTGAAATTTTATACAAACTTTGTTTTCCATTCTTATTCAAAACAAACATGGGAAAAGAAATAAACGGATATTTCCAGGTTACTTTCCTATCATTACCAAACGTGAGAAAATAATCTTCCATTCCCATTCCTTGGAGAATGACATGGGAAATGGTTTCCCCTCAAATTCATTCCATGAACCAAACGGAGCCTTATAGTACCCGTGTGTGTGAGTTTCCCCTCCCCTTCTTAACTTTTTTTTTAAAGAAAAAAATCTTGTTTCTCACCAGTTGGCAAAGTTCATCGTGACATGAAAACCTTGACAACCCCATGTGCGTACTGGGTTGTTTGATATCGAAACTATATACTTTGATCGCAGGGGAAAATGGGGTCAACTCTTCAAAAGCAACAAAAAGAGGACTGAAACTTCTTACACAAACGAAACACCACCAATAAACAATGTCTAGCATAACAACTTTGTACAACCTTATGTCAGAAAACCTTCACGAACTGGCGCGACATTTTTGGGGATCGAGGTATAAAATAACAGTGTTTTTAGACCTCACTAACAGGTTAATTTACCCAAAAAAAAAGAAGACATTTCCAAATCCGAAGCTCAAAGTCACTAAATATAGTTCCAAGGAGTAGATTGGTGTTAAAAGATAGAGATGGAAGTATAATGGAATAGATGTTCCAACCATCAGAGACTACAAATGGACAAGTCAATTACTTGTTCTCAAGTCACCACATTTCAACAAAGGATTTCTTGTTCCTTTTCTGTTAAGATGATGAACTAAATGCTTTAGGAGGATCTAAGTAATAGATGCATACACTAAGAAAGTCATGTTTTCGTCGACCCGTTAAGCAGCTTCGATATCCTGACTTCAAGCTCTCAGGATTTCACAAAACTGCTTTAAGCTTTGGATGTTTCACAAGTCTAACTACCTATCAAACAGAGGCCTAAACCCATGCAATGAATTATCTCGTAGGACTTGCCTAAAACTAACTGGTCTATTAGAACCCTAGGGTTGGTGGATGGCATTCAGAACATAGAATTGGTCAGTCTTGTGAGTAAATAAGGCTTAAGATGACTTAGTGGTATTGCCTATGCATATATGAGAAGGCAACTTGAGGCAAATTTTCTAGCTCTTACCTAACTTACTAATTATGTTATACCCCTCAAGAACTAGTCATAGTCAAATAAGACACCAATGCCACGACTATTGTGAGGTGCTAAAGTGACCCAATTATTCAAACATTAACAAATTTTTGTTTTATTGCCATTATTTTATCCTCAAACTCACAAAGTCTCACTTTTGTTTCCCAGATCATCCAATGAAGATCAGTCCTTTTCTCTTTTCCATTTTGGAAAGAAGCCTAATCCCCGAAAGGATAAGTTCTGTACTGAAAAAATTCACAGACAGCAGTCCAACATAGATCACAAAGAACCCAAAATGTGATCCAAATGATCATGCCATTTCAACCACAACATAGATTTGCCAACTTAAGAATACGAAAAACAGCAATCCGATTAGACAGAAAGAAAATGAATATGAATAAATAAGCATTAAAGCTTCATAATAAGGAGTTCCTACACAAATACAAATAAAAAGGAAAATTCAAAGACGAAAAACAGGCATCTGAGATTCTTACTCTACGAACACACATGATGGGCAGTATAAGCAACAGCTGCGAATCTCAAATCCCTTAACATTACTAATACCGCTAGCATAAGAAACCGAAATCTAGAACAACATACCGAACCCGAATTCCTCATCTCAGGAAGCAAAAGAAAACTGGACCTCATGATTTCTTTTGCCTCCAAATCGAACCCATCTTATGCTCTTCCACCACCTCTCCCATTTTGTTCTTATTATCATAATCTAGCTCAAATGAGTCCCTGAATCAATTTTAGGACTTGAAGATCAATTCTGGGATTCGTTCCTCTTCCCAATTCCTTCACCTTCCCTGTCCTCCAAAAGCCTATTGGCCTCCTCATCGGCCAGTGCTGTCTTCTTCTGCGCCTCCTTGGCCTTAAGAGCCTGCAATTTGGAGTGGTTGTAATAGGCAACACCCAAAAATGCAAGGCCATAACCAAACAAGTTGATTGGGGTCACAGTGTCCTTAATGACAGACCAAGAGAAAGCAATCAAAAGCCAATCTTTCACCACACCAGCCACATTCATGGTCAAAGCAGAGGTCTTCCCAACAAGCAAGAAAACAGCCAGATTCAAAGCAAATGCACAGAGAGAATTGGTCCCAAAGATCAGGAAATCAAAATGGAAGCTGGAAGAGTCCCTCAAAATTGGGTACTCAACAAAGATCCAAGGCACAAACAAAAAAGCCAAGCAACAAGGAGCAACATAATACAAAGAGGTAATTGGGTTCAGGGTGATGCCTTTAGATGTGAGCAAGATTTGGATCAGGACAAGTCTTGTGGCCTCAAAAGCAACAGCACCCAGCTGCAGAATCACACCCCAGGTGTCAAATCGAGCCTCCCCATAAGCAGCAATGGCGACCCCAATTGAGATCGAGACCATGTTCACCATGGTATCAGTCTTAAAGCTCTCTTTTTTTAACGAAACCCCAATTGAGTAAACGGCCACAGGCATGAGCGCCTTAAGCATTTGAATAAATGACACAGAGAGATAGATGTAAGCAGAATTGGAGAGCCAGAGGGAAAGAGAGTAGAGAGCTCCAATGGGCACCACGGAAGAGATGTAGAGATCTCTGGACATGGTGACTGGCTCGACGAGCTTGAAGACGCGGACGAGGACGAAGGCGAGGGAGGCGCAGAAGGACATGTGGATCATGGTGAGGGAGATTGGGAAGGGCCAGTTGTACATCTTCTTGTCGAGGATGTATTTGTTGTAGACGATGACGGTGAAGCTGAGGAAGATCCAAATCGCGACATAGGTGTAGGAAAGGAGGATCTTTCTGATGACGCCTTCGCTGAGAGAGCCACCTTTGCCCATTTTGGTGAAAATGGAGGTGGGTTGGTGGAGGTGGCTGTGATGAGAGTGTAGGATAAGGTGAGAGAAGGGTAGAGAATAAGGGAAGAGGATGAAGACCGAGGAGGAGGAGGAGGAGGAGGATGAAGAGGAAGAAGGAGTCAGATTCAAAGTGATAGAAGAAGAGGGGGGTGAGTTGGGAGTGAGACCTGGATTTTAGTGAGAGAGAGAGTTTGTATCTTATGTGGAAAATGAGGAAATATAAATAAAGTGGAATTGGAAGTTTGCATCAAAAACAAAAAATAAAAATAAAAAATTTAAGTTGGAAGTGTATTCGGTGTGGGAGTTTGATGGGAGAGGTGGCATTTGGGCTTCCATGGGGATTTGAGTTTTCTGATATTTTTTTGTGGGAAAACAAAAAATAAATTCCAAATATTTTTGTTTGTTATTTTGACCTTAATAGAGTTTTTTTTATTTTTTTATTTTTTATAAATAATTTTTATGGACCAAAGTTTATTTATTTATTTATTTTGGTGGGATTAGGAGAAGGGACTTGCATTGTGCATTTATTATTCTATGAGTCATGGAGTCACGATTCTTTTGGGTTTTGGATTTATTTTGTATTTTCCGTGGGAGGGTGGGGAGTTGGTGATACGCAAACTTAGAAACTTATTATTATATTATGTCATTAACTTTAAGATAATATATAGTGCAAGGATGGGGGGATTTATATAATCTATTATTGGTATGGATATTATCAGCTTAGATTAAATATTTGTTTGGAGTTATGAATATTATGATAAATACAAAATTAAATTAAATTTTGTACATAAATTATTTGTACAAATTGTAATTCAATCGTCTTATATGTCTCTTTCTAAAACAACAATTTCCTCTTTAAAATAATTATACGCATGCATGGATTTAACTAAATTGGTTAGAGCGGACGTGCTCCTTATTCTGCACCAAGTTCAAATCCCCCTCCCCATAGTTTAGATTAATTTAAAGTAAAATATCATTTATATAAAAAATATATATATATTTATGTTACTATCGACGAATATTCTCGGTGAAAAAAACATATCCTCGATTATGCTATAAGGAAAAGAAAAAACAAACATGTCCTTTACTCTATGTTTTGGTGGTTGTGCTTGTGGCTACTTCTTTTAATAAATTTCATGAAAAACAAAGGCTATTGAGAACAAAAGATATTTAACCAAACAAATTTTGGTAAAATATCATATAAACCAACATGCGAGAGGTCAATAAAAGATAAAAGGATTATTATTTTTCTATTTTTATAAATATAATATCTAATAAAAATCAAAGCATTAAAGGAGAAATCTCAACCACTTGTAGAAGTACTTTTCTATTTATTGAACTTTTCCACAACACATAAATAAACGCAGTCAAAATGAGAAACACTTGGGAAAAAAAAACATACACACACACACAAATGTAAACATCATATTCAAAATTTCCTGTGCATGCAATTAAATGCTTTTCCAAAATCACAAGGAAAGCCAAACAAGCCAGACGCGGCGGCTTTTGTACGCGAGTGTGGACTGAATTGAATTTAAATGTGGGTTTCAAATCCGAGAGCATAGATTCGGATTTAAGGAAGAAGTAGCGAAAACGCGCGCTCGTAGTCGTGTGAATCGTCACGTGCGGCTGGCTCTGTTGGTTGTTGTTGTTGACGATCTGCGCCACGTGACCTCATCAGTCACCCATCGCTTCGGTTATTCTTTATGGGCCTATGTGCTATCGGGTATGGGCCTTATTTTTTTTATTTTTTTACTTTATTTTTTCAAAAAATAAAAATAAAAATTTAACAGAATTGTCGGTAAGAAAATTCCACACGAGGGGGATATGCCTTATTGGAATTTTTCTGCTACCTAGCCAACATAAAAGACAAACAAATTTTTTGAAGTTCAATTGATTGGTTTAGTCCAAAATGTTAGGCAACACAATCCAACAAAATTGAACACATTTGTAGTTCCATTGATTGGTTTAGTCCAAAATGTTAGATTGTTCCGAGTCTTTTGAATTGGGTTGGGTAATTTATTTGAGATTAACTAAATATAGCCTTCTCTTTAGGACTTCAATGATTTAGAGTTTGACCTAGTTTGCGCATTTTTTAAGGCTAAAAAATTATGACTATTTATGCGTTTATAGGTTAGTTACGTGATGACGGGACAAAAAAAACTCACGAGACTACTTCATAGAAGTTTTTTTCAACGTCATTGCTCTACTTTACTCTCATTCAAAATTTATTCTATATGACAGTTGTATATTCTAACGTACGGAAAACTTGAACTCGAAATATCTTCTCCTTTATTGGCCTTTTAAGTAGCACACGAAAATAACACAAGGGCGGCCCAATCAATTTCGGTATGGTGGTTTATCACCCATCACAGTTGGAAATGTGGGCATGAAAATAAGTTAAAAGCAATTTAATGTTCAACTTAGAGTTAGATGTAGGCTCACCATAGCTGGATGCTGACTTAACTAAACTTGCAAGAAAACATCTCAAATCCAAATGGAGTTTGTTTTGCCAATTTCCAAGTAAGTTGAAAATTTCACTCCATATATATATGGACTGTGCCCACTTTAGATGGATTGAATTTTATTTTTTTTTTGTATAGTGAAGTGACAAGTTCTGAATTTTCCCAAGAAGGAAGAATAATTTTATGTAAATGTTGAGTTGTGGGTCCGCCTACAATTATATAAAGAGAAATTGGAGGCTGCCTATGGTTATGCCCAATAAGGTGGGTCCACTATTTTTGTACATTTAAATTGAGTTGCTCTTTGGAGAGCACGGCACGATGAAAGTTGTAAGTTGTGTCCGAGGAGTAGTGAGATTTTATACTATTTCCATTCATTACTATGTGAGATTTTATATTAAATTGGTACATTTATAAAGAGATGATGATTCAAACTTGAGTGTAAGAAAGTGGGTTCATTATCTTAATCAACTAGTCTAATTCGCATATGCATAAAGTAGGAACATTGGTTAGTCGTGAAATGATAACTTGTATGCATATTATATTTATAAAAAAATATATATTTAAAAAAAAAACCCAAAACTACCATGTTCACAAAACTTGGTAATAAATCCATTGATTTCTCTTATGTTTCTGTGAATATGAATGTATGGATCGCCATCTTCTAATTTGGTGGGAATATGTAATATACATGTGGAGTTGTCTTATTGTTTATAGAATTTGATTTGTAGTTGGTAGATAGAGTCTCGCATTTGGTTGCAATATTAAAATAATTTTAATTAAATTTTCAAATGTTAAGATTATGTATAGAGTTTTGAAGACTATTATTTTGTGATTAGCTGTTACAATTAGCTAGAAAATATTAAGAATATATATAGTTTATTATAATAATCTTCATGAATAGATGAAGCCTCTATACTTATTATTTGTTATATATTAAGGGATGAAAGGTTCGTGGATGCACAACAAAATCAGAGACAGAGAGGGTGAATATTAGTTGATTGACCATTTCCCTAGTGGCTGCCAACCAAAATCCTCCTTTCCCCATTATTTAGTTGAAAACTTGAACCTGGATTTGGACATTTAACCAATTCTTGCGATGTGGATCGATCTAAGTGCTTCTTGATTTATTAAGTACTTATGAGGGAAGAAAGAAATATGCGTGTTCGACCGATTCAAGCATTGCTTTGTTATTAATATGTTTTTATATAAGTGATATTGAGAAAGAGGTAATCGAATATAGAACTTTACCAGGATGCAAGAGTATATGCTCTTAACAATTTGAATTACGAGCCCCTTGCATTCAAACATTGTTTTATTATAGTCAAGCAAATATGTGTGGGTTATTTAGCTTAACACTTAAATTTAATTTGTATATGCATTTAGGCTGTGCCTGTACTCAACTACAAATGAGCACGTTTTAAAATCATAATTATTTCTTATAGACTGCATTAATGCTTCTCGAAATTAGTATCGATAAACTGACCATACCCATAACTCAAACAAGTCAAAAAATTGTTTTTAAAAACAAAAGCAAGTGAGCAAATTTCAACAAATGAAAGTGAATTATACGCAAAAGAAGTAGTAGAGCTTAACTTAACCATGTCCTTCTAGAAGGAACTGTTTCTTCCATTTATACAGTGATAGAACGGAAATAAAAGTGAACTAAATTTCCACCTTTTTGTTTTCAATATAAGATGTACTTTTAATCAAAGTTATTTTTTTCATGGACCATAAAAAAAAATATATATATTAAATTGAGGTACATTATCATAACAGATACACATGTGTTAAAAGGAGACATGAGCGGACGCACATCGGTACAAATAGAGTCAGGACAACCCTAGAAATGCCGGAAAAATGAATATTAAGTCCTCAAGCGACCTTGTAGTCAGCAGATGGGTGACCTTAAGATGCACACGAGGTGCTCAACAAAAGGCTTGCGCAACAGCTTCCTTTTTTTTTAATAAAAATAGTTTGTCACAATTCTGCATCCGTCATTGAAAGGAGACATTAACCAAAGCCTGTGTATTAGGATAATAAAGTAACTTCAGCTACTGGCAAAAGTATATAAATAATTTAAAAAGTAGCTTTTAATTTTTTAACCTTTTTTTAATAAACAGCGAATTTTTTTTTAAACCTTAATAAACACGAAAACATTAATACATTTCCAAAATCAAACATACACGCAAAACAGAACACCCCAGAAAATGCGTTACAATTCACATTAAAAAATCATTGATGATAGTTAAATATGTTTTTTTTTTCTTAGGGACTTGGTCCAAACAGACCCTTAATTTCATGGTCCAAAGCCGGGAAGCACTGGCATATGACAATTTCATGTTTGTGTACAATTGATTTCCATTGTATTATTATACGAATTATGACTGATGTTGCCCTCGTTAATTGTTTGTTCAAGCACAAATTGCAAATCTCACAAATCACTGATGTCTTTAGACCAAATTTGGACCTAAGGTTTTAGCAAATCACCTCAATTGGTCATGGGTACCCAGTGGATTC